GCATCCCCTGTGCCTCCTGCATTACAGGCGGATTCTTTACCCGCTGAGCCACGGGGGAAGCCCCTCAGATATGCTGAGAGGCGGCTGACTTTCCCCACGAGTGCCGAGGGCGTGAAATTTGGTTCCCCTGAGGCTGCTGCCCTGATACACAGAAGCAGCCAAGAGTCAGGGGAGAGAGAACAAAGGGTGAGGGCTTCGAGGAAAGATCTGAGGAGACTGGGCTGTAAAATTAGAAGGCTGCTTCTTGGGGGCGGGGGATCTTTAGCAGTAAAATTAGGAGTTGACTTCCTGGGGGCTGCTGGTGGTAAATGGTAGACTGACCGCTAATAAGCAAAACATCTCACGAACCTGTGCGTGTGTGCATGGACACACTACAGGTGTGTACACACACATGCCACACACACAGCTCTGGCGGCTGTGAGCCCACTGAGCGGCCACAAGGAGCCGGTGTGGGGGCCAGGAGGCCACAGCGTGGTGCAGACGTGAGGATTCCCTGCCATGTGACTGCATGGGCCCAGTTCTGAAATAAAGTCCTTGAGGCCAACAAACCCTTGCCCTGTGTGTTCTAAGCTTCTTACTCCTTCATAATCATCAAGAGGCCTAGAAGCTTCCCTCTTCACAACTCCTAGATGAGGGCCTGGCACACAACAGATTCAGTAAATGTTCTTGATGAAATGGACTGCCAAGAACCGCAGTGAGATCCACTCAGGCCTGAGGTCACCACCCCTCCTCCCTTGGCCTGGTGGAGGTGAAGACAGGGTCCCCAGGTTAGATTTTCAGATGCCTCCTCGTTTCCTGTCAACAGAGGTAAGGACCAGGATGCATCTTAAGGGGCCGGGGGAGGTGGGGGGTTGTTGTGCCCAGCAGGCACTCTTCCTGGCTCTGCGTGCCTAGCCGAGGACCCTGGACAAATCACTAGGATCCTTGAGGCCTCGGCCGGCTGTGTGCAGAATGAAGGCAGGGCTTCTGAACCTCCCAGGCCCATCAGCTCTTGGGGTCGGGAGCCGAGGCCGTGAGGAACCAATGACTCCCAACCTCTCCTCAGGGAAAGGCCCAGTGTCACTGCCATTCAACAAACGTGAAAGCTGCCGGTTGGAGGGAAAGTCACTTCAGTGACACAGTGGGCAATGAAGGGCCGAGCCAGTGCTGGCGCCTGACCTTCAGGACTGCAGTTTGGCCGGAGTCTGGGCTCTGGCTATCAAAAGCTGCAGACAGAGCATCTCAGCTGAGGGAGAGGAGGGGATGAGGGATGCAGCGCCAACGGCACCTCCTTTAAGCTGCTCCAACCGGAGGGCGGCACTAGGGCCACTCTTGTCCTACAGCAGGTCAGTAACCCAGCTCTGCCCAGAGAGCCCAAGGGGGGCTGGCTCCTTAGGCTCCGTCCCCTGATTCACAAGTCTTTGCAAGCCCACCATGACTCCCTGGTCCACCATAAGTCCCAAGCCCTCACTGTGAACTCTAACCTCCACCATGACCCCTAGGATCCCACAATGAGATGCAACACCCATCACGACCCCTAGGCCTACACCATGAGTTCCAACCCCCCACCTTGACCCCCAGACTCCCACTATGAGCTCCAACACCCAACATGACCCCAGACCCCCACCATGAATTCCAACCCCCACCATGACCCCTAGACACCCACCATGAGATCCAACCCCCACCATGACTCCCTGGCCCCCAGCAAGAGCCTCAGACACCCACAGGAAAGCCCCTGCAACCTCCCACCCACACTCTCAAGGCATAGCAGGTTCTGACTCCTGCGTCACTGTCCGTTAGTCAAACCACCTCTTTCCCACAGGAGGGTTCACTTCTTTTCCTTCCTCAAACTGGCCTGTAATGGCAGGAATCTGTCTCAGGGCTCAAGACAAGGCTGTACCAGGGGGAAGCTGAGCATGCCACACTCCTTCACACCCAGGAACCCCAGGAGTCGGAGGTCCAGGCCCAAAATTCTAGGGGGGGACAGCTGGGGGACATACCCACCCAGGTGTCCCTGAGCTGCCAGGACCCTCCGACCCAGTTCTACAGACGGACCGGCCTCGCAGGGGACTTCACTGGCCCAGAAGCTGGCGGCCTTGGCCCTGGTGCCTCTACTGTACAGCCTGTGGGCGGAGGGCCTACCACACCTCATGCACAGAGACTCCTGTTCACCTCAGGCCTCAGGGTGCTGCCCCTTCTAAGCCCCCTTTAAAAAGCAAATGAGCACTGGGCTAGAAGAACAGATTCTGGAGTAAATGCCTCCACTGCAGCCTCGGCCCTGCAAGCTCCTGGGGCAGCAGGAGCTGAGCAGGAGTCTGCTGGACCCAGCAGGCCCAGAGCTGGAAACGACCCAGTGTCTGGGGCTTCAAGGACAGCACAGACACTCGGAGCCAGACATACAGACGCAGGGCCTGCTAACGACTGAACCGGTCCCACCAGGAGCTGGAGAGAGCAATCTCCTGCAGTCTTGGGAACTGAAATGTACTCTCCCCTAAATCCCTTGACTTATTACCCAGCTGTGTTGGATGTACACTTGGCATCTCCTCAACTGGATGCCAAGCTCCCAGAGGACACGATGTGACATTCAGAGTAGGGTATGCTTTCCCACTGTAAGAGGTTTCAAATACTGTACCATGAAGGATAAGCCTGGCACTCTGATGTCACGGACGTGGCTGTGATTCCTGGCTCTAGGGCTCACTGGCCGTGTGACCCTGAGGGAGTCATATATAACCTCCCTGGCCCTCCTCTGAAAAACTGGGACACCACCCACCGTTCCTTCAGAGGGTAGTTGAGAAGAATAAAGAAGACCGCTCAGAACCGTGCCTAGCACACAGCCCAGGGTTCTTCATTGTTAGCCACTATCCCCCACCCTCCAAAACCTGATTTACAGGCTCTGAGAGGGGGCTCAGGCCACAGTAATCTTTAATGCCCCACCCCCGGCCATTCCAGTGGTTGAAGAACTTGACTTAACAGGAGGCATGGGGGAGGGGCAGGGGGAGAGGGATGCTGGAGCTGGGAGTCAAAGGGCGACCCATTTACAACTCCCTGGAATTATCAGACTGTTTGCCAGGAAGCCAGGGAACAGCTCGTCTGCCAGGGTGTCTGTGATGCCAGCAGTCAGTACCACCTCCTCCTGCCAGCCACCCTGGAGATATAAAGAAACAAGACCTGGGAGTCATCAAGAAGCCAGGGCGGTGGCTTGTGGCCTCTCGGCTTGCGAGGCTGTCGGCCTGGTCACTCTTTCCCTCACTCAGCATTTACTCGCCAACCAGCAGATGGTGCAGAAAATGTGTGGCTCTGCGCCTAATCCAGCTCTGAGGGCAAAATGTGCATGTGACTACCAGACAGCCATGGGCGCGCTCTAAACTGTCCTTTTTTCTTCTCAAAACGGGACCTGATCACAACATGCAATCAGACCACTGTCACAGTTCTTGAAGGAACATCAACATACCTGACTTCTGAATCTTCCTGGAATCACCTGCTTTGGATCCAAAAAAAAAAAAGAGAGAGAGAGAGAGTGTCTGCACTGTAGCTGCCTGCCTGAACTGGTTTTTGTATTTAAAAGTTGTATTTGGGCAGATGACATACATGACTTGTGGACTGGAAAATATGTTGATACACTGGACGGAGGAGAGTGCTTTATCTATAGATCCCTTTTGATAAAATTACAATAGCTACTTACGCTAGTTTTTAGCCAAAAGTGTTTCCTCCAGATCGCCATTCAGGGGTTCCCATTACACCAGAGTAATTCTTATTCTACCTTTTCTTCCTTTTTTTTTTCTTCTTTTTTCCAACAACAACTTTTTTTTTCAAGATTTTTTTGAATGTGGACCACTTTTAAAGTTTTTATTGAATTTGTTACAATACTGCTTCTGTTTTATGTTTTGGATTTTTGGCTGCAAGGCATGTGGAATCTTAGCTCCCCAACCAGGGATCAAACCTGCACCCCCTGCATTGGAAGGTGAAGCCCCAACAGCATTTTCTTTTAATAAATAAGGACACTATTAAAAGGAATGCAATGCTTGCTGGCACAAAGCGTCTAGCCAAGCGACAGTTCTTAAACTCCCCTTACCAGGTGACATCATTGGCCTTCCCCCTGGACAGGGTCCTAGTGAAAATGGACATTTTAGTGCTTGGAAAGCTAATTGGAAGCAGAGATGATGATGCCGATGACAGTATTGTACTATTACACCTTCATACAATACTTAACATGCTCTTTGCAAGACACTTTCAATTATTGTACTTAAGTCAGGCGTCACAGCGGCCAAGTCAATTCGCACGTTCTCCCATTAACTTATTAACAATCTGCTCATAAAAAAGACTCCCCATTGCCTGTAAAAGGGCGCCAGGAAACTTACGGCTCTTTCTCGGGGCCTCTCTGATGAGCTCAGGGCAACCCTGAGCTCTTGAGGCATCAGCTCGGGAGCTGGGTGCTACCCCGACGGCTGTGTAGTAATCCCGTGGAATGAGTGAGTAGGCTGCCCTTCAGCAAGGCTCCCATGCTGGAGGCTCCAAACATTCCATCCAAAACAGGGCAGTCCCACTCTGTCCTCAAAAAATGCCAGCGTCTGGCCCCAATCTGGAGGCCAAGGTGGCAGCGATTTTTCCAGGCTGGTGGTCAGATGCTTTGGGAAGAGGGGACAGAGAGGAAACTGGAGTGCCAGTCTCCTTGGTGGGCACATCTCCCATCACTACCGAGTCTGATGTGTGCACGGAGATGCTGCCGCGCCCTGCGCGCCGAGTGCTGCCGACCTGCGGGCAGAGGATGACGGGTGGCCGCCAGCCCTCACGCTCCTTTCCCTTCCCCTTCTCCGCCTTCGGGAATGAGACGGCGTTACCTGGGACAAAGGCCTGCAGGTAGGACAGGGCTCGGACCACCCCAGAATCGATGCTTCCCCCCCGCCACACACACACACTTAGCCCCGGGGCTCTGTGACCCGCTCCCGCGGCTGCCGTCGCCCCCGCCAGGTGAGCGCCCGCCAGGTGCCTCCCGCCGGCGGGGGCGGCCTCCCGCGCCTCACCTGCGTGAAATACAAGTTCATCAGCGTAAGGGTGAAGAACTGGAGGCACACGGGGAAGCAGTAGAGCAGCCAGAAGACGAAGGGGCTGAGCGCGTTGGCCGCCACGAAGTCTCTGAAGTAGAAGGAGAAGAGGACGGTCCGCAGGGAGGCCCAGAAGAGGCAGAGGAAGAGGAAGACGCTCTGGTAGCTGAGCCGCTTGTGGCGGTAGCGCAGCACCAGCCAGAGCTGCACGTAGATGAACACGAAGAGCAGCGAGTAGAACACTGTGTAGACGATGGTGAGGCCGAGCTTCACGTAGGGGGGCACGGCCGGGGTCAGCGTGGGCGGCAGCGAGTCGTTACGGACGGGGTCCCACGGCTGGGCCTCCATCGGGCCAGGGGCGCTGCGGCGCGACCCGGGCGCTCCGGCTTCATCTGGGCTCGCAGCCGCCGCCGCCCCCCCCGCGGGGGTCTCCGCGCATCGCGCTCCACCCGGAGCCCGGCGACTGGAGGAAAGAAAACAAGCCGCACTTCCTCCCCCGGCACCACATGATTCACTGGGGCGGCCTTTGTCTGCGATTGGCAGCGCCGCGCCCGCCGCCCCCGCGCGCCCGCCAGCCCCGCGCGCCCCAGCTCTGCCCCGCGCGCCCCCACGAGCACCGCCCCCGCGCCGCGCCCCCCGCCCGCCCCGCCCCCTGCCCGGCCGCCAGCCCCCGGAGCCCCGCCCCCTGCCCCGCGCGCTCCGCGCCCCTCCTGCTCGGCGCGCCCCCGCGCGCGCCGCCCGCCTGTAGCCCCCCAGAACCACCCGCCGCAGCGTCGCCCACCGCGCAGGTCCCCGCGCTTCGCGCTCTCCGCTGGTGGTTACTTGTTGTTTTCAACAAGAAGTTATTTTATTTCAACAACGACAAACGTTACAAAGAAATTTCTTTTTAACTTTTCAAAATAAAACTTTACGACTCTGTGGCGATGAAGTGACTGCCGTTTTTCCTTTTTCATGCTGGAGTGATGCTTATTTCTAAATCCAGAAATGCCGAAGGCAGGGTTTGTGTTTGTGAGGTCAGGTTTGTATACGCCGAGTGAGGAAAAGAATGGTCCCTACGACTGCAGCCTGCTCTCCGTGGAAAGCAGGGCTGTTTCCTCCCGGAGATCCACAGGGAGCGCCCCACACGGGGCTCCCGCGGAGGGGTGGGGATGCTCACCTCTCACCTCCCGGGAAAGCAGCTGGGGCACCGGAGGGAACCCCCCGGACCTCAGAGTGGGGGTGATCGCCTCTGATTCCGAGGCAACCCGCGGTCTGCGCATCAGACAAGCCCTCTGGTTTGCCGTGGCCGAGGAGTCCCTCCTCGAAAGCCATGACTCAGTTTACATCCCCAGGGGGGCTCTGTAGCATCACCTTAGGGGTGCTGGAGTTGTAGAGTGCCGTGGGAGAGAGCGCTCGCCAAGCTGCCCTCTGGAAGCCGCTGCCCTAGGCAGGCGATTTCGGTAAACAGAAGAAAGAGACCGGTATCTCCAAGACTCCAGTAATATCTTGTGATTTATTTTTTCATCTCAAGTTAAGAGTCGACTTTGTTGCTAATCGTGTGTTCTCTTTCATTAAAACAGCGTCCTCCCCTCCCGGCCCCGCACCGGTGGAATATAGACCAGCCCTGCTTTTCCAACCAATTATTTAGTGCTTGCACCCTGCTCGTATGTTTCAGGTGCTTCATCAGGTTGCCTTTGGTGTCAAGCTCCTTTTCTAGTTACTCTCTCCTTTCCCTTTCTCGCTTGCCCCTCATTGTTCTGAGGATAAAGTCCAAACTCCTACCCTAGCTCACCTCACTGCCTTGTCCCTTAAGAGGTGTTAATGAATGTTAACACCTCTTAACTGCTGTTGCCAAGGAAACCCTTTCCACCCCTTACTCCAACAGCTGGCCAAATCCTATTCATCTGTAAGGGGGTTGGTTACTTCCTCCAGAAAGTCTTTCCTAACCACATCACCAGGGTCTCAGTACTAGGGTGGGTGCAAGGAATAAGCTTTCCCTGGTGGCTCAGTTGGTAAAGAATCTGCCGGCAATGCAGGAGACCATCTGCAATGCAGGTGACCTGGGTTCTATCCCTGGGTGGGGAAGATCCCCTGGAGAAGGAAATGGCAACCCGCTCCAGTATTCTTGCCTGGAGAATCCCCATGGACAAAGGAGCCTGGCAGGCTATAGTCCATGGGGTCGCAACAGTTGGACACAACTTAGTGAGTAAACCACCACCATCAAGAAACAAGTGAGATGAGTGACAGTTATGCAAGGATGCCTTCGTCTTCACATGTGTTCTGTGTCCAGATTTCCTTTTTATACTAACTCCAGGGCTTCCCTAATAGCTCAGTTGGTAAACAATCCACCTGCAATGCAGGAGACCCTGGCTCAATTCCTGGGTTGGGAAGATCTGCTAGTGAAGGGATAGGCTACCCACTCCAGGATTCTTGGGCTTCCCTTGTGGCTCAATTGGTAAAAAAAAAAAAAATCCACCTGCAATGTGGGAGACCTGGGTTCAATCCCTGGGTTGGAAAGATCCCCTGGAAAAGGGAAAGGCTACTCACTCCAGTATTCTGGCCTAGAGAAGTCCATGGACTGGGTTGCAAAGAGTTGGACACAGCTGAGCGACTTTCACTTTCACCAGTCATGTTAGATTAGGACCCACTCTAATAACCTCATCTTTTATTATTACTATTGTTATTATTAACTTGGGTAAATGTATCTTGTATATTATTAACACAAGTATAATATAACATGCATATAACACAGCAAGGAATTGAGTCCTCAGGCCCTCGGAATCTCCCAATTCTTACTCTTTCCAATTGGTCCCCTAACCATCCATGAAAGACAAGAGAAGGTTGTGATTAAAGTCAGATATTTTAAGTCAGGAACCCACATAACCTCTCTTTTGGTTTAGTTGTGGTTGCGAAAGATAAGATGCGATTTTCGCATAGTCAGTGAAAGTCCCTGGTTTCCAGGCTGCCTGGAGCTAGAATTTAAGATCCTGCCAGCGGCTTCCCCAGTGGCTCAGATGGTAAAGAATCTGCCTGCAATGCAGGAGACCTGGGTTCAACCCCTGGATGGGGAAGATCCCCTAGTGAAGAGAATGGCTACCCACTCCAGTATTCTCACCTGGAGAATTCCTTGGACAGAGGAGCAAAGAGTCAGACATGACTGAGTGACTAACACAACTACAATCGCTTCTTAAGCTTTCTGGACTTCGCATCAGCCGCTCCACCCCACAGTTTTCCAGTCCTTTGTGCCCTTCATGCTGTTCTCTGGCAGCCACCCCTTGGTTTCTCAATGCCTTAACTTCAATGGGACCTCCACTCTGCTGGGTGACCTTCACACAAGCAACCACAAGTGACATTGTGCCTGTCTTAATACAACTTGAATTTTAACCGCCCTTAGATTCAACCAGGCAATCAATCTCAAATTCAACCCCATCCCCTGACCCTGCTGTTGATTTCAGTACTTCTCGGGATTCTTGATTACAAACAAGAGAAATAAATTGTGTTTAATTTCTTTTACCCCAATCTCTGCCTTCTTCTTCATATGTGTTCTCTCGTTGTCCAAGTTTCCTCTTTTTCTACTGACTCCAGTCATATTGGATTAGGACCCACTCTATTGACCTCATCTTTGATTATTAAACTTTGGTAAATTTAAGCAGAAAAAGAATGTATTAAAAGGTACTTTATGTAGCTCACAAAATCCTCAGGAGCTCTGGAGGAGTTTGGAAGCTAAGAAAGAAGAATGACGCCTAAGATAATCCTGCAGAACTGGTTCTGTAGGAATACTGTTGCTGCCACCCCAGCCTCTTACGTGGTAGTTTACACCACAGACCTCCCCAGTGCTGGACACTGGAAATGGCCTCTATCAACTTTGAATGAAGATAATGCAAACGATAGAAAACCTGGCTAATAATGGGTTAAACACAAGTGCTTATTTTTCTCATCTGTCTAGAAGTTAGTAGCTGCAAACATGGAATCAACTCTAAAAAATCTGCCAGGAATACTGGCTCTTTCAGTCTGCTTTACTACCCTTAGCTTATTGGCTTTAATCTTCAGAGTTGTTCCCTCCTTGTTGCAAGATAGCTGCTACAGCCCTAGATATTGCATATATATTCAAGTTAGAAATTGAGAGAAGACAGAAAGGGTGATTCCTGTATTAAGAAGGCAAAGGTTTTCCAGAAATCTCAAGACAAAGCTCCATCTATATCTCTCCAGCCAGAAGTGTGCATATAACCATCCAGAGAGAAGTTAGGAGTGCGTGCCCAGCCTGGATGAGGCTTAGAAAAAGGTTGGTAAAGGGTGTTGGTGGAGTGAATCCCTGTCTAGAATGGAGTATGTAGTTCATGCTGCTTTGAATCAAGAGCTTCCAATTAGAAGTCTAGGGCAGATCCACTTGATGGACTGAGCCTAGACCACGTGCCCACATCCCAGCAGCAATAGTGGCTAGGAACTTGAGAATGTAGCATCTTCTGCTTCCACGGTGGGTGCTTCTGCTTCCCAGAGTAGGAAACTCCCCAGTGTAGCAAGGGAGTTCAGATGCTGGGGGTACAAAATGGTGGCAAATAATTTCCTATACAGCTATAGCTGTAGATTTCTATATCTATAGATTTCCCCAGTTGATTATATGTGTGCTCAGTCGCTCGGTCGTGTCCAACTCTTTGTGACCCCATGGACTGTAGCCCGCCAGGCTCCTCTGTCCATGGCATTTTCTAGGCCAGAACACTGCAGGGGGTTGCCCTTTCCTACTCCAGGGGATCTTCCTGACCCAGAGATTGAACCCACATCTCTTGCGTCTTCTGCATTGGCAGGCAGGTTCTTTCTACTGCACCACCTGGGAAGCACTAGATGATTATATGCACATAGTTAAAAATTAAGATGTAACTTTTTGGAAAAGGGATATAACATTTGCATGAAATTATCTCTTTTAAATTATCTGCCAGCTATCCTCAGAAATTCTTTTTTTTTTTTAATTGTGGGGTGTTTTTTTTTTTGTTTTTTAAAATTTCTTAGCCATGCCCCATGGCATGCAAGATCTTGGTTCCCTGATCAGGAATTTTACCTGTACCCCCTGCAGTGGAAGCTTGAAGTCTTAACCAATGGACTGCCAGAGAAGTCCCTCAGAAATTCTTTTAAATATTTAAAGGGTGAGAAGAAGGCAAGCCAAAGAAGGAATTTCTGTTTTGCCTCTTGGCTGGTCAATGAGATCCAACTATTACTGGGCATCTCTCCCAGCTCTGAACTTCCTGTCCTGACGGAGTGCCCAGGTAGCCAGGACCCCCAGCTGTGCAACAGCCCCGGGCCTACTGACCCGGACAAACCCGGCCTCCAGACCTTCGTCACACCTCCAGCCCGGCTCCACACCAGGTTGAACGTGT